GACTCTTCCATGCTAGGTTATTACAATACATTGAATATAGCTCCCTGTGCTATACAGTAGTTCTCTACTGTTTCTCTCTTTTATTTATAGTAGTGAATATCTGCTAATCTCAGACTCCTAATAACCCCCCCCCCACCTTTCCCCTTTGGTAACCACAAGTTTGCTTTCTATGTCTCTGAGTCTACTTCTGTTTTGTAAATAAATTCATTTGTATCATTTTTCTAGATTCTTAACTCCATCAGTTGGCTAAGAAGCATAGGCTCTTAACTGAGGACCTCCCAGCTGCTGGGGAACAGGGTATGATGTCATTCCTAAGTGACAAGAAAATCAGAAAGGAAAGAAGGTAGACAGATGCAAGCCATAGCAGAAAAGTTTATCAGAAAGTACCTGGCTAGAGTTTGGAGTAATTGGCTTCAAGCTTTGTATTTCTCTTCCTGTCTTATCTGTGGTCCAGGAAGTGGGTAAAGAACAGCTGAGTGGGGGGTGAGGATGGGAAGATGAAGGGATGGTTGAGGTGCGGAGGTCTGGGGCAGGGCAGGGCTGAGGACTACTGGATGCAATGGTGTGGGGTCCATGGTCTGGCAATGGGACATAGCATCCTTTCCTTGTAGAGAAAATAATCTGAGGCATACTAAGTGAAGGTTTAGCAGTTATGAGAAAATATACCTTTGCTTACATCTAAATCACTCCCAGAAATAAGTTACCAATGAAACACTTTCTTAAAGTCACATCTTTTCCCACTGATTGTTATTACTGTGTCAGAGATCTATTCTGATGAGAAAGCTTAAGGAGGTTTTCTCCAGTATAAAGTACAAATCATACTTAGGAATCATAATAATCTCTTTAAATAACTTCCTGTTTTAGTACTATGTAGTTTCTATTAATCATTGCTAACTTAATTATAGATTACATTTGCACAATACTTCATTCTTCTATAAAAACACTTTCCCAGATATTCTGTCATCTCAGATTTCTGACATCTAAAACAAAGAGAAAGTCTAACCTCTCATTTTAGAGAGAATTCTGAAACTCATCTTGGTACTAATCAGCATCAGTTCTGTTTTTTATTGAATGATTAAACATTAGGGAACCATGCTCATATATGTGTATATATACACACACACATATAGAGTTGGGAATATATATATATGTATATATATATATATACATATATACACACACACACACACACACATATAATATCTGTAAAATCTCATTTAATCCTCATGATTAAGCCATGAGATAGTTAGCATCTCTATTCCCTCTGTTTCAAAGATACCACAAGCTGAGATCTGGTTGCTTCCAAAACTGATGGTTTGAAATCACTACAACTGGCTGAAGATGTGACTTACTAGTTCACTGAGCTAGTAAGTGACTGAAGAGGAAATGAAAATAGTCTTTTGCCCTCAATTTTCACATGAAACTCTAATGGAGAATTTTAATATAAAGAATCAGTCTTAGAAAGTCATTCCACATTAATTAAAAACAAGTATATTTAAATGTTTAGGGAAATTCTAATAAACTGTTTTGGACTTCCCTTTTGGCTCAGATGGTAAAGAATCTGTCTGCAATGCAGGAGACCTGGGTTCAATCCCTGGGTTGGAAAGATCCCCTGGAGAAGGGAATGGCAACCCACTCCAGTATTCTTGCCTAGAGAATCCCATGGATGATGGAGCGTGGCAGGCTACTGTCCATCAGGTAGCAAAGAGTCAGATGGACTTATTATCTTTACTATTCCATCATAAATTTAGTGGTACTCGTTAGGTGGAAAAATCACGTGGAAATATTTAGCTATAATTAATGTTAGCAAGCAATTTGCATTGACATATAGGTGCTCATTTCAATTCAACAAGGTAATTTTGAGCAAGGTGTTTTACTTAGTCCACACAAAGATGAGTAGACAGTATCTCTATTGAAAGAAATGTTCAGTCCTTCTTTAGAGGACTGTTCTTGAAAGACATTAGGTTTCCTATGCATGATTTTTATTCTCCATTGGGAGAAGGGTATCAGAAGAGGGAAAAACAGTTGAATGCAGACTGAGGAATTTACTCACAAAACTACAACACAAAAAGGAACGTAACAGTTACCATGAAATAGAGAGAGGAGAAAAGTGCCTTGGAGGAGACTGAGAAGGGAGCTCTCTTATTGTATTGGAATAGAAGGGGAATCAGCAAAGGCCTCACGACAAAGGCCTCACGACAGAGGTGATGTTTAAGACGAGCCTTCACGCATGGCTAGAAATCCAAAAAGCATGTGGTGGTAGGGCGTTCACACACGAAGAGAATGCTGTAAGTAAAAGCAGAGAGAGTAGTTCGTCCTATCTGCAGTGTGCATGGTTTAACAAAAAGGCACAAGGCTGAAAATCGGAATCTTTTTGTAGAAGGTTTGAACACGGGGATGATGTCTTAGTAAACACGGTAGAGTGAAAAACAGATACTGGATTTGTGCTAAGGAGACAGATGTGCGCACTTCAGCGGTGGCATTTTTGAACTTGGGCAAAGCAATGAATCCTTTTGAACATTGGCTTCCTCACCTGTAACATGGGGATGTAATCATTACGCTAAGGGTTGAGTGTAAACCTGAATGGAGCTAGCACTCTGAAAACCGTGAGGCACAGCCCGTGGCGTACCAGCAGCTCTATCACTGTGCGTGTGTGTTCAGTCTGTCCGTTGTGGTCAGCTCTGCAACCCCATGGACTTCAGCCCGCCAGGTTCCTCTGTCCGTGGGGTTCCCTAGGTCAGAATACTGGGATGGGGTGCCATTCCCTGCTCCAGGGGACCCTCCCGATCCAGGGACTGAACCTGAGTCACTTGTCTCCTGCGTTGGCAGGTGGGTTCTTTACCAAAGGTGCCACCTGGGAAGCCCTTCCGGCTGTGTCCGTGATGGTATATGAAGACTGTGGAGCCAGGCAAGCTTTTCCTTTGGATCTGCACTTTAGAAAAATTAATTCAGCAGAGATGTGTGGGAAGGATTAATAACAACAGTAGAAGGAGAACCATCAGAAAGCATTAACATCTTTCAGGTTAAAAATAATGAAGGTGTGATTAGAATGGTAGTTCAGGTAAGTGGAAAGGTAGAGACGTTGCAAGGATATGTTGCAAGAATACGAATTAAGAAATGCACTGAACTGACGCTATCCCTAGACACAAATTCAGCAGTGTTGCTTTGCAGTCTCTTTAAAAGAGATAACATGATTTGATACATGATAGAACAGGCAGATGCTTGGGGAGCAGAGGGGAGAAGGTCATAAGGGGACATTAGGTCTTCCTTTGCTTTTTTTAGAAAACCTTGGTAACAGCAGGATAGAGAAGGGACACCTTGACTGCAAGAGTTTGGTCCCCCCCCCCGCCCCATGGCACATGTGTCACGGTGGGTGAGAGGTGACATAGAGTCAGTAAGTCCTTCCAGGGTGGGACTTCCAGAAAATGTGTTCACCTAAACAGAGAATTTCTTGCTTTTCTCAAAATCAGTTCAGTTCAGTTTCTCAGTCGTGTCTGACTCTTTGTGACACCGTGGACTGCAGCAGCTCAGGCTTCCCTGTCCATCTCCAACTCCCTGGAGCTACTCAAACTCATATCCATCGAGTCGGTGATGCCATCCAACCATCTCATCCTCTGTCATCCCCTTCTCCTCCTGCCCTCAATCTTTCCCAGCATCAGGGGCTTTTCAATGAGTCAGTTCTTCCCATCAGGTGGCCACAGTATTGGAGTTTCAGCTTCAGCATCAGTCCTTCCAATGAATATTCAGGATTGATTTCCTTTAGGATAGACTGGTTGGATCTCCTTATAGTCCAAGGAACTCTCAAGAGTCTTCTCCAACACCACACTTCAAAAGCATCAATTCTTCAGCACTCAGCTTTCTTCATGGTTCAACTTTCACATCCATACAGTCATACTGGAAAAACCATAGCCTTGACGAGACAGACTTTTGTTGGCAAAGTAATGTCTCTGCTTTTTAATATGCTGTCTAGGTTGGTCATAGCTTTTCTTCCAGTGAGCAAGTGTCTTTTAATTTCATGGCTTCAGTCCCCATCTTCAGTGATTTTGGAGCCCAGAGAAATAAAGTCTCTCACTATTTCCATTGTTTCCCCATCTATTTGCCATGGAGTGATGGAACCGGCTGCCATGATCTTAGTTTTCTGAATGTTGAGTTTATTTCTCAAAATAGATCACCTCTTGCCTTAGTGCTTGTCACTTAGGTTTGGAAGCAGAAGGAATCAAGAAATAGGGTTCAGAACTGATTTGTAAATTCCAAGCCAGTTTCTTGGTAATCAGAAATGGATTCAATTGAATTCCACAATCATTTAGTGAATGCAAATATTTTCCAGGAGATGGAACTGGAGAAAAATACCAGATATGAATGAAACAAACACCATCCCCCTGCCATCTTGCACCCCTGCCATCTTGCACTCTCTCTGTCTCTCACAGTTTAGTGAGAGTGTATGTCAGAAAGCAGATGAAGTATTATTACATGTTGAGCTAAAGTTGTATTCTTTATTTGTTTTTTCACTTCTCCAAGAATGACATTTCTATGAAGACCAAAATGATGTTTTGGACTTACTGGAAACTTATACTGCTCCTAATAAAATAAATAGCCCCTCTAAATAATGATCTCTGTATTTTGTGCATTCCTTCAAAAACACCCTGTGAACTTTGTTGGAAGCAGCCCCCTTTGTATGGTATTTTCTGTAGAACTTTACCACTGGGTCGTCCCTTTACTAAGGAGCTTAAATGAAATGAAAATAGGATAGCCTAGTAGATCTTTCTAAGGTAGAAAGCACTGATGGAGATAGCCATGGAACCAGGAATTGGTAGATGAGGAAAAGCAATCATAAAAGTGGGTTTCAGATCTTTTTTTAAAAGAGTTCCTTTCGTTTATTATTTATCTCTGTTCACTCCTTATCCCTTCCATGCCTTACTAAGACCGGCTTGTGAGACTGTTTTATGTGCTACTTGAAATGCTCTCTGTTTGACAGCATTGTTTTTTCTCCCTCCCTTTAGGAGATGACCTGGCCTCCACCGCTTGCTGCTATTCAACCACCTGGCAAAGTGGAACCAAGCAAGTTTCCATTTCCAAATAAGGTGAGATCCGGCATCACTCAGGATGAGTACACTTCACTCACACAAGATTTCTAGTGGACAGTGGGTTTTCCCTTACTGTCTTTCCCTGTGTAAATATTCCTGGCAGGGGCACATGGATCTGATTTTCAACAATTTGCAAGTGTAGGTCTGTTCATCCAAGGGATAATATCAAGCTTACAGTCCTATTATACTTACCTCCACTTTCCTACTTCCTACAAAACATGATGACTATTGTAATTATTATTTTATCTAGAAAAGTGTGAAGTTGAAATGCATCTGATAATCATTTTATGCATTCGTTGTGATTGTATGCCTTGTTTTTCTTTCTGAAAAGCTGTTATTAAATTAATGATGTATCTTAAAATCAGTGTCTTAGAATTAAGGACATGAAGTATATAATTTCTTAGTTATCTTTTATAAAGTTGAAAATATTTTCTAGGACTTAATAAAAAAGATTTTCTGAGATCTAGCAGACACAAAATATCTGTCACAAAATGTATTTCAATTATACATGAATGTAACAAGTTTTGATTTTTTTAATCATACAACCAACACATAATTATATACTCATTATAAAGATGTAATTATACAAATAGAAGAAGAAAAATATGAAAGTTTATCACATTCTTGTCCAGATTTTATTTCCCTACCCAGAGATTACCACCAAGAGTTTGGTGTATATCATGTGCGTTATATACACATTTGTGTATATGCAGTTTTTTTAAAAAGCCCTAAATAGTGTAGTACTGAAAGTACTTTTTCTAAAAATTGTTTTTTTTCCAGATACACACAATGCACAAATGTCATTGCTAAATGTTAAATCACAATTTTCTAAAGTAAATTATCAAAATAATTGTTCATTATAATTATCACAATGTCCTAAAAGTTGCTCTGTCCTAAAAGTTGACTTTTAGTTCTCTTAATAAGGTATATTTAGAAGTCTTTCCAAGTGAGCATATAGAGTTTTTTTTTATTTTTCTTAACAGTAGCAGTAAGTGGACAGTATTTCAAGCAATCATTTTGTAACTATTTTTTAGCATTATGCCTTCACAGTGACTTGTCAGTTTCTTAATTCATCAAGGTTTATTGTGTCTCAAATCTTCTGCTTGTTAAGATGTGCTTGTGTTGCTGGGGTGTATTTTCTATCAGGTTTCCAGTCCAGTCTTGATCCAAAGTCTCTGATTGTCACTCTTTGTACTTACCTTCAGTCCTTCAACCTCCCTCCTCTCTGCTGGTTCACCCTCCTGGCACTCTTGTCTTGGTCTCTTGTTTTAAATACCATGTATGCTCAGCCGGCTGACGTCTAAATCTGTATCTCTATCTCCCTCTCCATTCCCCAAGCTCCATACTTGTGTTTCCGTTTACTTACTCAGCATCCCCACTTGGGGATCTAACAAACATCTCAGGCTTGACATATCAAAAACTGAGCCTTTACTCTTCCCACTAACCTTCTATCTTGTGTTTTGCAATAAGTGGTTTCTTCATTTTTGCAGTTGGCACAGGTCAAAGTCTTGGAGCCATCTCTAATTCTTTTCTAAGGTACCTATAAAAGCTATGGTTTTTCCAGTAGTCATGTACAGATGTGGGAGTTGGACTATGAAGAAGGGTGAGTGCTAAAGAATTGATGCTTTCAAATTGTGGTGCTGGAGAAGACTCTTGAGAGTACCTTGGACTGCAAGGAGATCTAACCAGTCAATCCTAAAGGAAATCAACCCTGAATATTCATTGGAAGGACTGATGCTGAAGCTGAAACTCCAATACTTTGGCCACCTGACGGGAAGAGCTGACTCATTGGAAAAGACCCTGATGCTGAGAAAGATTGAAGGCAGGAGGAAAAGGGGATGACAGAGGATGAGATGGTTGAATGGCATCACCGAGTTGATGGATGTGAGTTTGAGCAAACTCCGGGAGATAGTGAAGGACAGACGAGCCTGGCATGCTGCAGTCCGTGGAGTCACAGACAACAGAACATGACTTAGCAACTACACAACAACAGCAGTAATGAAGTACACATACCAGGTGGCTTAAAATAGAAAAAATGTATTTTTCTCACAGTTCTGTAGGCTAGAAGTCTGAAATCAAAGTGTCAACAGGTTCATGCTCCCTCTGAAGGCTCGAGGGAAGGATCCTTCCTTGCCTCTCCCAGCTTCTGGTGACTGCTGACAGCAGGTCACACCCGTTGGCTTGTAGATACATCACTCTGTTGTCTGCCTCTACACTTATGAGGCCATCTCGCCAAGTCTCCCTCCTCTTCCAAGGATGGCAGTCACTAGATTTAGGGCCCACCCTCAGCAACCATCTGAACTTGAGTTTACCTGCAGAGACTCTTTATCCACATAAGATCAAATTCACAGGTTGTGAGCAGACACGAGCTTCTGGGGGATGCTCTTCAACACCATCCTTGATTTTTCTCTTTCCCTCATGGCATGCATCCAACCCATCATTAAATCATATCCACCCTACCTTCAAAATATGTCTAGAATCTAAATGTTTCTCCCCATCATTGCATCATAGAGGGCAATCCTGTCTTCTCTAGGATTACTATAGAATTTGTGGGGAGCTATTTCAGCTCTAGATCTTTTGATTTTTCTCAAGAAAGAATAGGTGACTTTACAAAGTATAAGAACATTGGACTTCCCTGGTGGTCCAGTGGTTAAGAATCCACCTGCCAACGCAGGGAACATACATCCCAGGTCGCGGAAGATTCCACATACTACATAGCAGCTAAGCCCATGGGCCAGAACTACCTTGCCCATGTGCTACAACTGCAGAAGCCCGCATACCCTGGAGTCCATGCTCTGCAACAAGAGAAGCCACAGCAGTCAGCCTGCTCACCGCAACTGAAGAGGAGCCGCTATTGCTGCAACTAGAGAAAGCCTGCGCGCAGCGATAAAGACCCAGCGCAGCCCCCAAAATTAAATAAATAAGTGAAGTGTAGGAACATTGCATGATTTTAATAATGCCTTTCTTTCAAACATTTCACAATAAGTATTGGTGATTTATCTCATGCCAATGAAATAAGACTGCATTAGTGTCATTTCTACTATAACAAATCACCATAAACTTAGTGACTTAAGACAACGCAAATTTATTATTTTACAACACTGGAAGTCAGAAGTCTGAAATCAGTTTCACAGAGCTAAAATTCAGGTGTCAGCAGAGCTTTGTTTCTTCTGAATGTTTTAAGGGAGAATTTGCTGTCTTGTCTTTCTCGGCTCCAAGAGGCTGCCCCTGTTACTTAGCTCATGGCTCTCGTCATTCTGACCTCTAACCTCCTTGTCACATCTTCCCTGACTCTCATGCCACCTCCCTTCCCTTTATGATGATGCTGGGCCTCCTGGATAGTCTAGGATGATCTCCCGTCTCAAAATAGTTAATCACTTCTGCGAAGTCCCTTTTGCCATGAGAAGTAGCATACTCACAGGGCCTGGGAATTAAGATGCAGACGTCTTTGGAGGAGCCCTTGTCCTGCCTACTGCAAAGACCTCACTAATTCTCTTTTAACCTGTATCTCCACTAATTAGTATTCTGACAGCTGGAGGCTTGCAGTTCATTAATTAGATTATTAATGTTTGGGATTATCATGATTGCTAGTGTGTAGGAGCTAGAATTGTTTATGGAACTTGCAGGGCAAAATCTCCAAAATGGCTAATAAATAATGAAATTAGGCCCTTATTGAGATTAAAGGAGCAATTTGACCTCAAAGGAAAGTCGATTTAAATGTGCTTTCTGAGTTACCAGTAGCGCTAAATTAATTAGCTACATACTTCCGAGAATTTCCCCAATTTGTCTGGGTATTGAAGGACATAACATATAATAAAGTCAATTGATACTGAACTTGGATGTTTTTTCTATTCTCTGAAGATTTAATTTCGAGTCACAATTCCCTAGACAAACACTACCAGACGTGTCTGCCTTATTCTTCAAATCTCAAAAGTAATTGAATTTGGTAAAGAATGCATGCCATTAGCAGGTATTTCAACCAAGAAAAAAAAAAGAAAAGAATCTGTTTTGTCCTTTTCCCTTGATTTCCAGAGCAGTCTCATAAGTTTTGAAACGCAAATAGGGAACTAAAATTGTAGAACTTTCTTCATCCCCAGAAGGCATCTGTGCAAATCTAATGGCATTTCGGAAACATTTCACATGGCAGTGAATGCCGAAACTGATGGAATCAGATCTGGTTTGAAACTGTTCTTGCTGATCAGTTTCTAAAGCATTAGGCAGAAGAGTTCTAGCCTGATTAGAGAAATGAGAGCCCTATTGCCTTTCTCTCTGTATAGTACAAGGAGAATGAAAGCCAGCAAGCATGAAGGAAAGCACTTTGAAGTTGAAAAGTTGATGATCTATATCTCTCTTTGGGTTCCTAGCATGCTTTAGAAATGACCACAAAATGTTTGGGCTAAAACTTCACTTTTACTTCTTCTTGTCTTTCTCGGCTCCAAGAGGCTGCCCCTGTTACTTAGCTCATGGCTCTCGTCATTCTGACCTCTAACCTCCTTGTCACATCTTCCCTGACTCTCATGCCACCTCCCTTCCCTTTATGATGATGCTGGGCCTCCTGGATAGTCTAGGATGATCTCCCGTCTCAAAATAGTTAATCACTTCTGCGAAGTCCCTTTTGCCATGAGAAGTAGCATACTCACAGGGCCTGGGAATTAAGATGCAGACGTCTTTGGAGGAGCCCTTGTCCTGCCTACTGCAAAGACCTCACTAATTCTCTTTTAACCTGTATCTCCACTAATTAGTATTCTGACAGCTGGAGGCTTGCAGTTCATTAATTAGATTATTAATGTTTGGGATTATCATGATTGCTAGTGTGTAGGAGCTAGAATTGTTTATGGAACTTGCAGGGCAAAATCTCCAAAATGGCTAATAAATAATGAAATTAGGCCCTTATTGAGATTAAAGGAGCAATTTGACCTCAAAGGAAAGTCGATTTAAATGTGCTTTCTGAGTTACCAGTAGCGCTAAATTAATTAGCTACATACTTCCGAGAATTT